GGTGTCGGACATCCTAATACGCCCATACTTTCAACCAACGGTTTCACTTGCCCAAGCCCCATAGCTAAAAACTGCAATACATGTATGCAGAAACTAGTTCAGGCTTAAAATCGCATTCAATAACTTGTTTCATAAATTTGCATCAGTGATTTCTCTTTTTCCTCTTTTGAGACAATGAATAATACTAAATGAACCTAATAATGCGAAGAGCAGAAAAAACCCCAAACCTTCTTGGTGAAGATATATCGATTGATCATATGGTTAAAAATGAAGTTACTGTAACACACTTCGAGGAACGTGGTTCAGAATTGGGCTATGTTTTTGTGTGGAAGTACTTATGGGCGAAGGGCAGAGGGGTAGCCTAGTGGTTAAAGCGTTCCCTCGTCACGCCGAAGACCCGGGTTCGATTCCCCACATGGGCACAATGTGTGAAGCCGATTTCTGGTGTTCCCCCCTCCGTGATATTGCTGGAATATTGCTAAATGCGGGGTAAAACTAAAGTCACTCACTCGCTTATGGGCGAAACATCATTTTTTCCCTCAAACGCATGTGCAGTACACACTCCCACGAGCTGTACAAGTTTTGAACATGCAGCATGTGCACCATGCATTGGCGGATCCAGAGGGAGTGGGTGGTGGTGGTTTTCGAACTCCCCCTTTGAAAATGACTTAAGACCACATTGAAGATTATTTTGCGTTGTCGGAGCCAATGGTTGTGTGTGTGTTCCGAACCCTGGACCGCCCCCAAAAAAATAAATAATAAATAAAAATAAATAAATTCCTGGATCCGCCATGCCATGGATGATCTACTGAAAAGAGGTTATGAGACAGTAAACAAGACACAAATGGCCGACGATGCCCGCCGTGTGTTAATAGTGCACTGTCAAACTCAACTTCTTAGACCTGAAAACGAACTCGTATTGAAATGAATTGTAGACAGAAACTTTCAGATGTACTTTCAACCCCATCGTTTTTAGCAAAACAGAGAACTGGCAATATTCAACGTTTAATTGATCAACCTTCCTCACAATTATACAGACGGCAAATCAACTGTTGGTTTTCTCTAACAAGATTTTCCAATCTAACTAAAAGTAAACAATGAAAACGATTCAAAGTCGTTACTACGGTCTCTATGCACACTGAGTTCAATTATTTCGTTGGCACCTTTCAGTTATCACAAGTTTTCTTTTTACATCGGCATGACGAGGCCCGAGGTTGGACAGGGAACCTAAGAACGCTTTACTAATTACAATTTAATGAAATTATACTTTACAATCTCTACTCGACCCTTTTTCAAAGCAGCTTGGGATTTCTTTTCAACATAATGACATTTACTACTGTTGAACGGTTATTGAAAAAAATACAGGTTAAAGCAATATAAACTGACGTACAAAAGAAACATGACACCCGCGGTATATTTTTCTGAGCAATAATTACAAAATGTTTTGATTTCATTCATACGCAGTATTTTTTATTAGTCTGTGGCACAGCAGCACCAAGAGGACATCATGGTGGTTCCAGCTGATGCAGAGTTGTCAGCAGTCAAACGCATGTACTGTCGACATTTCTTTTACACAAGGGATTGGGGAAAATCTATCCGAAGGATAATGCGTTTCAGTCGATAGAAAGGTGGGTAATGTCCTCACAAGCTTGTATGACAGCCATTTGCAGTTATGCAAACCTGTGTTCGAGCATACAACATAGCCCCTGCGGATGTTGTCCGCGCATCAGAGAGGGCCTGTTGAATTTGTTGTCTGGTCTGTGGTTGCTGGAATCTCAGTCGTCTGCCAAGGTGACACTTCTGGTGTTCTATGGACGTCATCAGGGATCCTCCACTCATCAGACAGGGCCTGTTGAGTTTGTTGTCTATTCTGTGGCTGTTGAGTCCCAGTCGTCTGCCAAGGTGACCATGTTGGTGTTCCATGGACGTCATCAGGGATCTCCCTCCACTCATCAGACAGGGCCTGTTGAATATGTTGTCTATTCTGTGGTTGCTGGAGTCCCAGTCGTCTGCCAAGGTGACCCTGTTGGTGTTCCACTGGAGACATGTCGGGGACCAAGGGACCCTTATCGCTAAATATAACCCGAGCACAGTCACGCCGTTGTCAACGTAGGGAAGTTCCCGTCCAATGTTGTCGATGAAAGCGATGTTCCTGTGCCAATGCTATACCATGTAATGGATTGGTGCGGTAATTCCTGCCGAAAGTAAAAGACTCAGCAATGTGACCCTGCGACTGTGATGACCTAACGACGTTGCTGAAGATGAGGAACCTATTACGTAGGTGCAGTGTCCAGATGTACTTGTTTCCTGAGGTGTTGTGACCCTCGACCATCCACTCCGGGGACGGTCAGATGTCTGTCCAGTTTGTTGGAACCGTCTAAAAAGATGATGGGTTTGTCTTAAACAGCCGAAGGTTCCAGCCAAATAATTCTTTGTTGTCTCCATCTGTGACATACCACCGGCTCTCTTGTTGAACTGCGGCTAATGTATGCATTCTTTTGGTGTTCTTTTCGCCACAATCAGGCTATTCAAATGACGAAAAACGCTTTTCATTCATGGTTTTCACCCAAATGGATGTAGCCCGAGTTGAGGTGAGTTTAATCAACATATATGTAATGTTTGCTCAGAGTATTTCTGTAGTGCTAAAACTAAGCATGAATTAAACTAAGCAAGAGACAAGAAACATGAAATCAGCAAACGACAGAGATAAAAAATACGAATTCACACACACGCAAGCACACACATCCGGCATCTGGTGTACCACTTAATTTGTTTTGGCGCCATTTTGAGACAGAGCGTACACGGCGGGTACCCCTACATAAGGGTGGGAGTTTCACAGACTGTGCGACAAATATTGTATTGATTTGTCTCTCTTTACAAGCAATAAAATACGAAAGAAAAAATAAAAATAAATGTCTATATAAAAATATTGGCATCGTATTCCATATGAACCTTCCATAGCATTCTGTGTACTGGACAGCGGCATCCATCAGGAATCCCAGGTGACATATGTTATATTTGGGATTACACTTTCTCAGTAAAGTACAGATTCAAGTACTTTTATTAAGTCAGCGATGGAAGCCGCGGCTCCTGAGTTGGAGTGAGTGAGTGAGTTTAGTTTTACGCCGCACTCAGCAATATTCCCGCTATATGGCGGCGATCTGTAAATAATCGAGTCTGGACCAGACAATCCAGGGATCAACAGCATGAGCATCGATCCACGCAATTGGGAACCGATGACATGTGTCAACCAAGTCAGCGAGCCTGACCATCCGATCCCGTTAGTCGCCTCTTACGACAAGCATAGGTTACTGAAGATCAATATTGTAACCCGGATCTTCACGGGTATCCTGAGTGGGACAGATCGCCGACTTCGTGTGCTGACGATTAGTAGCCTGACTCTAAGTGTGTGGGTTTGAATCCTGGTCTCAACCTAGTATAAAAGTACTAGAGTCTATACTTTACTGAAAAAGTGTAAACCCAAATATAACATATGTCACATTTGACAGCTCTCTAAATGTCATTGTGTACTCATCAGCATTAATGTGATCTAACTTTTGCTCCGAAACATATACTATTTTTGTACGTGTCAAGTTTCTTTTGAACATCAGTTTTTTTCTTTGACGTCAAGTCAACTGGATGATATGGTGTTTTGTTACATAAGCCTCGTTTACTTTATGGTGAGCGTACATGTACTCTAAAAGGCTAATACTACTGATCTAAAATAAATGGCCTTAGTGGTATTAAAACTAGATTAACTGATAAAAATAACACTTATTAAAGCTTAATTTTTTTTATTACAACACTCACAGGGCCAAATTGTATCATCACTATTATTACAATCGGTCACAAAGTAGTATTAATACTTTGATATCTCAGTAGTATTTGTTCGATCTGCAGATCTATGAGCATGAAGATGAAAAAATACAGGACCCTGCGAGTACTTTGCAGGAGCTTCGAGTAAAGAACTATGGGTATGGTTTTGCCCTGGAAATACAACTGTAAAAAAACAATCAAATGGAACCGGGATTATTTTACGCTCGAGCTCTAGTGTACATCGCGGAATGATTTATGATACAGTGGATGTGATTGCGCGTGTCATCGCGGAGTGATACACTGTCCACTGGGAGCGATAATGAAATAATGGTGTAAAACAGATCTCTGCGCTTCAGATAGAACTGGGGTTCAAATATTGTCTTCCCAACGCCGATGCATTGTCTCAAACTAAACGACATGACCTTTGTTACTCTATGTTAATTCTAGAATCTCCCAATATCAACACTGCTACTTTGATGGGTGATGTATTGATTACCTACAAAGGCTTCATCTGGGGTAATTTAGCTGATCTTGAGAACGTTGAGACATTAAAGATGGTTCGGGCGGAAGCCGATCAATACACTTGTAAGCAATCACCAGAAACAATCATAAATCATCTCGAAGGAAGGTTATGATGTTTACAGAAAATGAGTGTAAGAAACATTGAATATTTGACATCTGAAAAGAAGATCTCTCAACATCAGAGGCAGTTCTTCGATTCAAATTAAAACACAAACATATATAGATCACGAAGGCCACATCATGACAACGTCCTTCATTAATGCAGCCTTGAAATAATCATTATGCATCTAGTTTATTTTTTAAAACTTCAAATTTCGAATCCCAATCAGACCTTTCATGCGTATTCATTTAGAAGAAGCAGAATCCTTTTCCAAGCAATGTTGGGGCATTAAAATGCAATTCATCGATGTAAATAAATTTTTAAAGCCATGGGAAACATGTTTTGGTTCTGAGTGAGTGAGTATGGTTTAACGCCGCTTTTAGCAATATTCTAGCAATATCACGGTAGGGACACCAGAAATGGGCTTCACACATTGTATCCTTTAGGGGAATCGAACCCGGGTCTTCGGCGTGACGAATATTTTAACCACCAGGCTAACCCACTGGCCTTTGATTCTTTGTGTTTTTAAGTGTATTTGGTTGATGAAACCATGAACCCTTACCTCGACAGGAAACGATATGCTGGCTATTGTATGCTCCGATCCTGTGTTATCCGAAGTTCCAAAATGAAACTTGATTTCCGACACTGTGTAGTTGTAGGAAAGTGGTCCCACACTCATGTTGATGTTGTTGTATCCCTCGGACGTGACGTGGAGGGAGATGTCGTGGCCGGTGTTGATCAGCAGCCCCTTGACCTGAAATAGCAACATAAAAAACATGTATCTCATTCCTATCGAATTTGATATTTTCTACTTCAGCGCAAAAACAGGCGGGTATCCAGAGAAATTGTAAGGGTGTCAGCGTGTCACTGGTTCCAAAGGACTCCAGATAAGAGTAGGTTCCGAACACTCTTGCTCGTCGTACATGTGATGATCTGACTTGATCCCGTTCCTTCGAATCCTGACGGTGTCAGATGTTGTTCATAGTGTCCACCACTAGTTTGTATGGTTTGTGTAACGCCGCTCATATGTAATCGAGTCTGGACCAGACAATTCAGTGATCCCGCTAGTCTCCTTTTATGAGAAGCATGGGTTACTGAAGATCAATTCTAACCCGGATCTTCACGGGTGCACTGGTTTGTAAAAACATAATCGGGACATATCTTTGTTTTGAAACTTAACGCAGCACTCAGCAATATTCCAGCTATGTGGCAGCGGTCTGTACATAATCCCGTCTGGTCCAGACAATCCAGTGATCAACATCATAAGCATCGATCTACGCATTTGGGATACGATGACGTGTGTCAACCAAGTCAGCGAGCCTGACCAACCGATCCCTCTTCCGACAAACATGGGTTGCTGAAGACCAATTCCAGCACGGATCTTCATGGGTCGATGCTTGTCTGGAGTACGCATCTTTTACACAGCCAACTGCTGAAACCTAGACGCTATGACCCCATTCGTAAATCTTATAGTCACGTGTCTAGGGGAGATAACTCTCATTTGTTTTAATTCTTGCCAGGTGTACTGTTTTTGTAACTGAATTGTAATCGTCAATTATCATGCTCAACACGACTGATTAGAAGCTGTATACCACGTATATGTTGTGCTGTTGAGTTGAGGGCTTCCCTCACAGGTAGGGCATTTATGTCAATAAAGTTATCATATAATAACGTAAGTTTCTTTAAACTTATATTAAGAAATACTTTAGTTTGATTTCTGTCATAACATTAAAGTGGCTCATCATTTAACACAAACAATGTCACGACCCGAGAAGATCCGGGTTAGAATTGATCTTCAGTAACCCATGCTTGTCGTAAGAGGCGAGTAACGGGATCGGGTGGTCAGGCTCGCTGACTTGGTTGACACATGTCATCGTAGCGTAGATCGATGCTCATGCTGTTGATCACTGGATTGTCTGCATTAAACAACAAACAAACCAAGAAATGTTACAGGCACGGGTTAAAAATAGAACCATTACGCTTGATAAAGAAGAAGATAAAGTTTCTTGGTGTCGCAAGGACACAGTGATGCAAAGCATCCTTGGTTGTACACACTGTCGCAAGGACACAGTGATGCAAAGCATCCTTGGTTGTACACACTGTCTGAATTGACACAGACTGAAAGGCAGAACAACAGGGGAACACTGATGACCGATCTTCCGGTGAGCAAGCTAACCAAGGGAGACATGTCTGTCTATACGAGTCTCTCCTTGAGAGAAGCGTTATATCAGCTCCAGACAGATCCACGGCCCTGTATCCGAGTTCTGTCTACCTACTTCCGTTTAACTCGGTGGCCTTGCGCAAGAAACCACCTCACCGTCTCAAGTCGGCGATGTACACACCCGCTCAGTGATGACTTAGCATTACGCCATAACCACATGCTAATTTGCATAACCCGTGCACAGATTTTCCTCTTGATTGTAAACAAACACTCTATTTCTGGCATTAGAACAGGAAGGCTTATTGGAAGATTCCTGTCAGCCAAGCATATTGTTTTGCATAAGTATAATGTTTACATGCTACTTCAACGTACAAGGACCCGTGGACATCCGGGTTAGAATTGGTCTTCAGCAAAAAATGCTTGTCGTAAGTGGCGACTAACGGGATCGGGTGGTCAGACTCGCTGACTTGATTGACACATGTCCCCCTATCCCAATTGCGTCGATCGATGCTCATGATGTTGATCACTGAATGAATAACATCCTATATTTATTTCATTGCATTTAATTCATGAAAAGGACTCTTGCAGGAAAACAACATTTTACATTCTTTACATAGTACATCCTTTCATCCATGGATGCGCGGCACAGAATGTCGCGATGTAGAAACATTCGATAGATGGTTACACCTCGCATACATAACAGACATGGCTCAAACAAAAACATGGCGGAGAAGAAACAGTAAATAATATCCACTTCAGACAGTGGGGTCAATCGTGACCCCTCACCGGAGCAGCGTTCCGACGTTGATATCCTACACCATCTCCACGGTAGAGCACTCTGATGGGTCCCCACAGGTCACCTCGGATCGCCCTGAGAGGATCCCATATCGGAACTTGATTCACTCATTTCACTAATCACAGAATGCAATATAGTCTGACGCTGATATACATTAGCAAGTAGTTTGGTTTAACGACGCTTGACCGTGAAGATCCGGGTTAGACTTGGTCTTCACTAAGACTTCAGCAACCCATGCTTGTAGGTAAAAGGCGACTAACGGTATCGGGTGGTCAGGCTCGCTGACCTGGTTGACACATGTCAACGTATCCATGGGAGTAGCTACCATTATGAAAAAAAGCCCGTGCTTACACACGATTCATGCAAAAATGGTTTGGCAAGCCCTCAAAACTATCTAAGCGTAAAGCTTTGCAAACTATCGGGCTTACACGAAACAATTGTCTTGCTACGCGCCTGGTATCCCTATTCCGTAGATCGATGCTCATGATGTTGATCACTGGATTGTCTGGTTCAGACTCGATTACTGACAGACCGACGCCATGTATCTGGGATATTGCTGAGTGCGGCGTAAAACAAGAAATCAACCAAAATCAATTAACGACGCTGTGATGAGTATGAAACATCGTGTCAGCTTGATGCCAGGTCTTTGACGAAATCCACGAGTACCACGAGGCGAAGCGGGATTCGGGCCGATCATAATAGGTTTCTGGCGTGCCCAAGGGACGCAACTCTGCACATGACGTGGCGGCACCTTATACGACGAAGTCGACATTCGAATTTCAAGGTCATTGTACTTAGTATAAACGTAAAGCGCCGAGCTATCATCCTGTTGGAAATTCCTTTAGGGTAGGATTCAGAGGAAGCAACGTTGCCTTAGTAACGGAAGCAATTGACTCCTGAATGGCCGAACTGAAGTCAGAAGACAAGAACAATGTTCCTGGGCACCAAAGAACATTTGCAAAGCCATGATTCAGGTTATGCCCGGAATTGCAAAGCTCAAAGTAGGTAGATTTGAAAACAATTCGCGAGAGGTGGAAGTTCGAAGTCTGATTCTTGGGAAATCATCTCCAAACTTAACATGTATGTATGTATGTATATAAGGTTTTAGGGCGACCTTGGGCCTTAAAAGGCCTATATGCGCCCAACACTTAACAAACTGTTATATTTTTGTTCAGTTAAATAACATCGTACTTACCCGTTTTAACGAGGAAGTCTAAAAGAGCTCTTTGTATGCAACCATACATTAAATTATCGCCAAGTATTGCGTTCATTGAAAACGTATTTTGGGCTTTGTTAAGCACAGTTTCTTTAAGAGCCTTACGTGGGTTTTCATGAGCTGGACATCGACAACGCCGACGAATTACTTAACATGTAGCTGAGTAGAGGAGTTATCGTCCTTAAAAACACAAGAAACACATCTCGATATTATATACCTATGGGTTTTTTTTAAATCTTAGTTTTAAATATGTCAGAAGGGGGTGGAGATGGTGGCTAACCCTCGTCACACAGACTGACTGACTGAGTTTAGTTTTAAGCCGCTTTTAGCAATATTCCAGCAATATCACGGCGGGGGACACCAGAAATGGGCTTCACACATTATGCCCATGTGGGGAATCGAACTCGGGTCTTCGGCTTTAACCACTAGGCTACCCCACCGCCCCCGTCACACAGAAGACTCGGATTCGTGTCGAGTGTGCAGCCAGTTTCCTGTGTCCCCAGTCGTGATATTGCTGGAACATTGCTGAAAGCGGCTTAAAACCATATTCATTCACTTGCTCAACTTTGTCGGAAGTTAAAACGCTCGCTCGTCTCTCAGAAGACACCCAAATTAGTAAAATCGTTCGCCAACCCTCCGTGGCATCAATGGTTTAATCTATCCATTCATTAAATGAATTGGGAATGTATTTGCGCATTGTTTTTATGGCAACATATTACTCTGACTGTGAGCGACGAGCTGCAGTACCACACAGTCACTGGGGCGGCGTTAGCGTGGTGGTAATGCCGTTCGATCGTCACGCTGAAGACCTGGGTTCGGTTCCTCATATGGGCTCATTGTGTGAAGCCCACTTCTGGTGTTCTCCGCCGTGATATTGCTGGAATATTGCTTAAAAGCGGCGTAAAACTAAACTCACCTCTTTCACTCACTCACTCCACACATTCGCTACACACGTTCCTCGCTGGATTAGTTCTCACGTCAGATGTCACTTGAACTTTACCTGAAGTGTGTTGGGTTTGTTTTCAGTGAGATATGTCTGGAGTGACGATGTGTTAGACGGTTTCATTCCACAAGCCAACACATACCTGAGGTTGTTTAATTTTGGATACCGGTTATTTCATGACATTTTTACTAGCTAACGGCATGGGATGATATTTAGATGTCTGGTCGCAGCAGTGGAGTCGTATGTCGTCAAGACAGCGTTCAACAGACAAGTAGTTTGACTTAAATCGTATGGTATTCAGTTCCGTACACTATCCATATGTCGCAATATAACGTAGCTGTGCTTCCTTGTCTGTCGGTGCTGGTTTCCGGAGAATTAGGAATACAAAGGTGCTGTGCTTTCACCTGGCGCTCTACTGACTCACCTAGTCCCTTATATCTCTGATCTCATCCCAGCCCCTTATATCATTGATCTCATCCCGGCCCCTCATATCTCTGATCTTATCCCGGCCCCTCATATCTCTGATCTCATCCCGGCCCCTCATATCTCTGATCTTATCCCAGCGCCACATGTCTGATCTCATCCAAACGCCGCATGTGTGATATCATCTCAGCGCCACATATCTCTGATCTCATCCC